GACACACCCTCTGGGTCCTCCCTGAGCGGGCGCTGTATGGGGCTGGGGGTGCCTGGGTGGGCCTCTGGGCCCTCTTGTTTTGTAAGCATGGCTCTGGGGGAGGCGGGGCTGTGTACGTCCCTCTGCCCCCCCCCTCCCTGGGCTGAGACCCCATCCTGGAAGTCGATCCTGGGCAGGGTGGGGAGCGGGAGCCACCCTCAAGTGTTGTCTGCGGTGGGGTGGGCATGGTTGCTCCGGGGCTTGGAGCCAGCAGGAAGGCCGCTGCCCCTGCCATGCCCAGGGCGGATGGGAACCTGTGCACCGATGCAGTCTATTAAAAGTCTGTTGCATGAAGGTTGGGTGAGGGCCTCTCCCACGGGGGCCCCCCAGGCGCCTGCCCACGTGAGGCCAGCTGGAGGCCCTCGGACAACAGTGGGAGGCTTCTGGGAAGGGCCCTTCCTCCCACTTGGCTCTGGGACTCCGTGTGTGTCGGCTGCGCCCTGTGGTGGGAAGCGAGCCCCTGGGGGTCGGCCTGAGGGCTGGCAGGTGGCGGGACGTCTTCCTGCCTCGCCCAACGGACTCTCGAGGCTCAGGCTGCTCCTGCCTGCCCAGCGGATTCCCGAGACCTGCCCTCCTGGGCCTGTGCTCACCCCCACCTACTCACCCCACCGCAAGCTCACATCTCTGGCCCCGCAGACCCTTTGTGGCAGAAACACAAAGTTAGGAGAGTGCTTCTTCCCCAAGGACTGAGGGCTGGAGATGAAGGACAGACACTGTCCTTGTGGGGCTTGAGGTTGAAGGCCACGTGGCAAGCCCGTGTGTCTGAGGCTGAGCTGGAGGGGAAGGGCAGAGACCCCCCCCCCCCCCCCCCCCGCAAAGACCGGCCTGCCCGTCGGGCAGGGCTGCACCCAGGTGATCCCAGCCAGGCCCTGTCCACCAGGAAAGCGGAGCACCTGGTGGGGTCTGTCCTGGGCGGGGGTCTCCAAGCAGCGATGCTTCAGTAGCGATCGGCTGCGGGCTGGGGGCAAGGAGGGCTGGTTAGGGGACAGCGGCAGAGGGTCTGGTCCAGCCAGCCCCCCCACCTCTGGGCCTCAGCACCTGTCTCCAAAAGACCCCACCTCCCAGCTCCGTTTGGGCTTCCACACTGCAGGCCCACGTCTGTCCAGCCCAACTTTGGTGCCCCAGCTGGAGCCACCACAGGGTGGGCACTGGGTGGGTGGGGCTCAGTTGGGCTGCATGGCCTCCGTGGACTCCAGGAGGTTGGCACTCTGCTCCTGAGGTGCAGGGGCTGGGCCTCCCCGAGGCTGGGTGTAGCCGCTGCCGAGAGCCGGGCTGGGGTGTTGGACGGAAAGGAGGCCCACAGCTGCTCGCTCTACGGCCGTTCTGGCCTCCCTAGCTCCCGAAATGCCTTGCAGGCTCTAGGGTCATGCTCCATGGGCAGCCGGAGGGCAGGACGGAGTGGGTCTGCTGAAGGGCAGGTCAGATGGAACTGGCCGGGGACAAGGCTGGAGTACAGTGGGCGGGGGAGGGGCGGGAGGATAGGGTGGGGTAAGGAGGGGCAGTGAGCAGGTGCTGTCCAGGCACGTGGGTGCTGGCGGGATCAGGGGAGGGAGGTGTCCTCAGCCTGTGCAGCTCATCTAGCCCCGCCCAGTGAGCCCTGTGGGTCCACATACCTACTCCCTGGACTGGGGTCCCCACGGGGGACAGATGATGGGCCGTTTGATGCGGACTTCGTGCCCTGAGGCCCCTAAGCCCCCGGGTGAGAGTGGGGTGCACAGTCCATTCCCTACACAGCGTCCCCTTCCCTGGGCTCCGCCAGCAGCCCGGCCTCTGGTGCACACGACCCCTCCCCCCGCTCAGGTGTGGTCCCCGGGCCTGGCCACAGCCGGATTGGCTGCAACAGAGGTGGTGGTTCCTGCCCCATGGCCCCCTGGGGCCACATAGCCTGGGGAGCCCCCTTCCGGCCCCGGGGGG